TTGCTATGTCACAGGGTCATGTGATCCCCTTTTGACAAGCAAAATCAATGGGGAAGCCAGATTCACTTAACAACCGTGACAAGAAAGGTCGTAAAAGGGGGAAAACTCATTTAACAAATGTCTCACTTAACTGCAGAAATTTTGGGCTTAATTGTGGACGTAAGTTGAGGACAACCTATAAACCATTCTTTGCTACATATTGTGAAATTCTATGAAACCTCTTTTTATTTTAATTGAAGGCTCATCATCATCATCAATCTTGTTTCAAGAATGACTGGAAAACCATGTTTGATATAATAATCATCAACTTTGATTAACAATCCCATAATCCCTTGCGGGGTAGAGTCTAGGCAACTGAATGGAGCAAGCAGAGTGTTTTAATGGCCAGATGCCCTTCCTGTTGCCAATGAGGAGTTTTGTTCAGCAGATGTATTCTCAGTGTGCCCAGAGAGAGAAATATCTGTCTCTACCTGGGATCAAGCTCATAGCCTCCTGATTGTGAGGCAAGAGCTCTACCTCTAGGCCACCAGACCACTCATGTTTGATAAAACAACAGTCCATAATAACTTTTTGACTGCAAATTAGAGATTCTTCAGGGATATGAAAGCTAATGGATAGTATTGTAATTGGCTGGTTCCTGTTCTATAGTCAAAGACAGCTTGAGCCAATTCTTAAATTGGACCTATACTGGAATACTAAATGCCACTAAGTGACTTAAGAGATTCTTACCAGGAAAACGTTTCCATCCAGTCAGTGCAGGATGGGCATTCTTACCTGTCTCTTTGTTCATGATGGCATTGTAATAGGCAAAGAATGCCCTAAATTCTGCTGGCCGATGAGCCATAACCTTAAACACATTGGGCAAAAACCCAGTCTGAGAATTAAGAAAAAAAGTAGTCAGACATCACTTATACAACAGGCTATCCAATATCCGTATTATTTCAATTCACAGATAATATAGTTACACGGCAGAATTAGTTTGGATCATGTACAGGTAGTCCTCAACTTACGACAGCTGGGACCAGAATTTCTGTTGCTAAGCAATACGGCTGTTAAGTGAGTTGCAACCTATTTTACAACCTTTTTTTGCCACAGTTATTAAGCAAATCATTGCTGTTGTTACGTGAATCACATGGTCACTAAACAAATCAAGCTCCCTCCACTGACTTTGTATGTCAGAAGTTGGTTGGGAAGGTTGCAAGCAGTGATCACATGACCCTGTATTGCTGCAACCAACATAAGTAGATGGCTGTTGCCTAGTGCTTGAATTTTGATCATGTGACTGAGGGGAGGCAGCAGCTGTTATAAGCATGAGGACAGGTCATAACTAATTTTTTTCAGTGCCAATGGTTGCTAAATGAATGGTTTATTCAAGGACTACCTGTGGTGGAGTATCAAAGAGTGATGTTAATGGAGAAGAATAATGGCTCATTGGAAAATATATATTTTTCTAGAAGAAGATATCTGGTTTTCAAGTCTTGTCCTTTCCAATTGAAAGGTTGCTAGCAGGCAAGAATCAAAAGCACCACATTAACCACACTTAGCTACATGGAATAATAAAATTATCTGCTATCAATCCAACTTTTTTAAAAAGTGTATCAAATACAGTGTTATTTCTTCCAAACAATAGCCCTAAGATCCAATATAGTTCAACAGATGTTTAGTCATCCTGGTGGCTTTTGTTATTCTAGAAAGTGAGAAGAACGGGAGATATATAGTTCTTGAAGAATGATTGATGGCTTGATGACTTTGCAAGCACACAATATCATCTAAGTGTCTAGCCCAAGATGCATCATTTAATTCATTAATGAGAGTACCAAATTCAGACAATGTTTAATCAGAATTTTTATATTTTTATGTCTTGCTAAAAAACAGCCATAAAAGGTATCAGAGCCAAAGGGGGGAAAGTGTTACGCAAGATAGGAAATATACAGTCCCACAATAAGAAAATTAGCATAGGCAGGATTGTTCCACTAAGATATTTTTACCTTTACTTCCATTTCCTCCATGAGCTCTACTATATCATATGGCAAATCCGTCTTCTTGGGTATTGGATAGCGTCCAATCTCCTTAGTAGTATTTTCTCTTTCTGTACTCTTTGGATGATTTAGTGCTACACTTTCGGATCTTCCCCATAGGTTTCCTGATACACTGAGAGGAAGAAACTAAAATACAGAATGAAAGGGAATCTTCTATTTACATAGGATATTAAGGGCTTCAGTATCACTGCAGGTCCAAGATCTAAATAGGCATTTCAAACTAGTGCAGTGAGATTGCTAAACTTCCTCACCTGCCATTTTGAAGAGATGGTCTCACCAGTGATAAACCCGAGTTTACTGTAAAATATATACTTTTTAAAATGTATACTGTATACAATACTGTAGAGTATGATATTTGAAAAAAATTATACAGTAGCTAAAGATATTGAGAATCATAGACGTCCTTGTGTAAATCTGTGTTCGGATCACTATTTTAGAGTCAAACGTTAAATTCAGCTATTTGGTCTCAATCCTCACTAGCTTTTCATGAATGATCAAAATGAATGCTTGATATTGTTTGGGATAACCTAATCTTCTGCTATAACAGTTCAGGCTTAGATTCTCTTCTGTTTAGAATAGAATATTTTATCTCTTTATTAAATTTATATGCCACCCATCTTACTGTTGGAACAACTCTGTTTAGGAGTATGTGAGGAGAAAGCAAGCAGAAGGGCTACAAAACAGAAAAATGGCCAAATATCTCCCACTTTTGGAACTTTTAAAAAAATAAAGTGAAGTAATTGTTGAAACTCATTTTTTTCAGAGAAGTTTAAATTCTGAATGGAGAGAGATGGGGTTTTTTTGACATAAAGGTAAGATGAAAATAGAAAGCAGTGAGATTGTGAGATTCACTATGTCACTTTCTCACAAGGGATTCATAAAGTCTTCTGAAGTTGTGCAAAAACAACAGTAACTAACAGCTTTATATTATTTCACTGATGGTTAGGATGATGCTATGATGACACTAAGTAAATGGGGAAATATCTCACTTTGGATAGTGAGATGAGCTGTATGTATGTATGTATGTATGTATGTATGTATGTATGTATGTATGTATGTAGGGAGAGCAGGAGGAAAGGAAGGAAAGAGAGATAGGAAAGCAGCTATATGCAATGAGCTGGTGCATCTCTTCTCCCCCCCCCCCCCCCATCAACATTTCTGTCAGAAACCAATTGTTTTTTTATTTCCCTTGCTTTGGTGAATTAATGCCCCCCTTCATTCTCAGTAAATTTTACACTTTCTGAAGGACACAAGGGGAAAAATGCTATTGGGAAAGGATTCTAATAAACGAGACTGTGCTTTTCTCCCAACAGGAGAGAGAACCCTGCAACAGGCATTTCACAATAAAGAGTTCCCAGAGTTCATTTGACTTAATCATTGGGCACACTTACAGAAAGTCTGTTAGCTGCCAATTTCTCTTTAGCCTCCTCACTCTTAACCTACTACACCAACGGTATAATATAAATATAAAAGAGCTGAACCCCAATCGTCTCCCATGGCTTCCCTGGCCGAAAGCGCCCCCTGTTGAATTAGGTCCAAAAAGCGCCGGTCCAGGAAACCCTTCGACACAGCCTTGGTTTCTAGGCGAGGAGGATGGAAATATTAAGGGATTGCGGGAAAGCGGGGATGGGAGGCGGGCGGCGGCTGAGGGAGCGCTACTCACCGAAACGGAGCCGCCACCGCGGCGGTGGAGCTGAAGGAAGCCGGAGAGGAGAAAACGCTTAATCATGATACCCTTGGGGAAAACAGGACAGAGCAATCCGAAACGCCAGCCTTCGGCGGATCTTAGAGGCGGAAAGAAGCACGCATGCCCGACACTGTCTCCCCAAACCCGCCTCCTTTATTATATCATTGCCAGCAGGCCTCGCAAAGCCAAGGTCTCGCGGGTGGCGCGGCCTTTCTCTTAAGCGTGGCGAGAAACGAGATCGGTCGATGGGAGATAGCGAAGCCGGAGAAGTACTAAAAGTTGCCACTGTACAAGGCAGACAGGGATGGTGGAGGAGGAATTAATTTTCAATTGAGAAGAGGCAACACAACTGAGATTTGGAGATGGGAGAGGACTTGGTCCACGGCAGCCTTAATTGGGTCGCTATATAAAGAGCGAATAAATCTGCCTGGAAATTCACTGTTAACCGTTTTCAAGATTAGGAATTTACTCGTATTAAGTATATGTTTCGGACATCCATGTGGTTCTCGCTTGGCATGTTTTATGTAAAGAGCGTAATCATTATGCTTCTAATGTTTCTGTAATGCTGTTCCGGGCTGGTAATGCGTTGCTTGAAAAGAGGAAATAAAGAGCGAACTCAAAGGCGCTTTTTCAAAAGGCAGCTGGACTTTTGTGGGGTTTTTTTCCCTTCGGGAAGAGTTTCGTTTCTCATCCAAGGAGCTTTTTCAGTTCTGACTGAATTAAGAACTGAAGGAGCTCCATGGATGAGGAGCGAAATGTCTTCCTCAATGAAAAAACGGAAGCCTTTTGAAAACGCGCCTTTTAGACAATCATAATCTGGATGACTGAAATCTTCATAAAGAGTGAATTGTTGGAATAAGCACCTAAGGACAGTATATCCTCACTCAGATCACTATTTTTCTTTAGTATTCATTGTTTTATTTTACTTTAAATTTACCAAGGTATGAAGATTATCAACCAATGGAACAGCTTGCCCTCGGAAGTTGTGGGAGCTCCATCACTTGAGACTTTCAAGAAGAGATTGGACTGCCATTTGTCAGAAATGGTGTAGTCTCCCACTTGGACTAGATGACCTACAAGATCCCTTCCAACTCTGATTATCGGTTACCCAAACACATACATAATACACATATACACATGCTATATACATATATATCTGCACCACACATACACCCACACACACCAGTATCCATTTTGATTATTTCATCACTGTCCATTTTTAATTATCCATGAATGGTTAAATTGCTTGGGGGGCTACTTCACTACAGTTTATAACATTATCCAGGAAGCTTGCACACTGAAGGAAAAAGTGAAAAGGAGACAGAGTTTGGTTTATTGAAACAGACAAACTATCTTACAGAAAAGGATTACATTTAAGGCTTTTTCTGAAGGATGGAAAATATTTGATAGAAGTGAAGGTGTTCATTTAAACTTATAATATTGCAACCATATGGAAAAGAAACAATTTATATTATTCAAGATAGAAATAAAAGCAAACTTGAAAAAGGCTCCCTCTGGTGCAAACTCAAGGAACAAACTTGGATATTTGGCCAAACTGGAAATGATCACAAATGAAAGACTATATTAAAAAAATGTAATGTTATTGATAAGTACTTTTTAGAATGACTAAGTAAAAGATCTAGTAGAGTATTAAAATATCTGAATTAGGATTAAGCTATATGTACATGAGATAAGTCATTCTTTAGAAGGAGGGAAGAAACAAATTATGGAAAACAAATTATGATAGAATTCATTAGCATTTATTAATTATTCATTGTGTGGGGAACAATGTGTTAGAGCAGGGGTCCCCAAACTTGTCAATTGGAGACCTCTGTGTTAAAGGAACATTAAAAAGAAAAAAAATCTAAGAAAAATAAATCTAGAAAGATTCATAAGCAAACTATAAAAAAATAAGTTCCTCAAAGGTGTATAAACACCCACAACTGAAAAAACATGCAACTTAAAACAAAATTTGAATACCACTTCTAAATTGAAAGCAAAAATATGATTCTGAACTTTATTAGGAAATAAATTTAGAAAGATAAGTGATGTATGAAATCAATATATTTATGTTCAATTACTTAAAATACCAATAACAGCACTTATTATTTAAGATCTTTGAAAAATTATATACCCATAGATAGCCCTTGACTTACAATCACAGTCGAATCCAAAAATTCCATTGGTAACCAAGGCTGTTGTTAAGTGATTAATGGGAACTCTCCTGGCTTAGATAGTTTTATCAAGGATTACCATAAACATTCAAATATATTTGAATTACAGATGTTTTATGGTATGTAATTTATAACATCAAGGTAAGAATATTCCTGATTCATGACAAAAATCTAAAATTACACATTTTAAAGCCAGGTAAAATCGCATAGTACCTTTTTGTACTAATGTCTCCTTCATTATTAAACACAGACTATAGTCAAAATTATTGACTAATCACCTCAAATCAGTTACAGACAGAATTATGTATTCTGATCAGTGTAATTATATAACAGCAGTTAAGATGATGTTACTCCCCAAATTGCAGTCTGAACCCAAAATCAATGTTTCTGATCAAAATAGAAAAGCTCAGAGATACGAAAGGATTGTTTAAGTTAGGTTTCAATATTATAAGATAAAAATAAAATCAGCCCTATTTTTTAGAATTCGATTCTCTCATGAGTAGAAAATATTTAAGTGTATGAAAGTAAGCAAGACGTGCTACATCAGCCAAATAAAAAACCTGTTTGAAAGTACAGTATTGCTTGTAATAGAAAGTAGTGTTGCCCATTAGTCAGACTTAGCCATAGCACCAAGGAGCGAATATTCTTGTAAATACCAGCAAACTTTATTTGGAAGATTGGACCTTGTCCTCTTCTCTATTCATGTTATAGTATTCCGGGTTGGGACGCATATCTGTGAAGAGAGCTATGCGATTTGCCATGGCAAAAAAGGCTGAAATGGAGCCTATGTCCCAGGCATCTTCTCGGTCAAATCCATGTGCCTCCAGTTTTTGAAAGTGCTCTTCTGTTATATTATCTGCTCTGCAGACAGCAAGGGCAAACTCAAGCATGGCCACTTCCCGATCACTTAGATCAGCCAGTTTCCAATTCACAGCCACCTACAGAAAAGCAAAGGGCATGACATTTTTTATTTTGTTTTCTTCAATAAACTTTCCATCTTTCTTTTAAGGTGCTATCTTTTAAAATTATGGAACATCTGAATTTAGAGCAAGCTTCTTTTTGTACAACTTGTTTCTTCTGCTTTTTTTGAACTTATTGTATATAAATACAAGAAATCCACCCACACCTTAGTCACTTCCTGGCTAGATTTCTGCAATGAGATCTATATGAGGCTGCTCTTGAAGTCCATCTGAAAGCTGTAATAGGTCCAGACTACAGCAAATGGGTAACATTGGGCATAATTCTACACTCATGTAGCATCATAATTTCACAAGCTGTATTGGTTTCAAACAGGCTTCTGGATGCAATTCACATTATCGCCTATAAAGCCCTACATCAGAGGTCTCTACCTTTGGCAACTTTAAGATTTGTGGACTTCAACCCCTAGAATTCCTCAGCTAGCCATATTGGCTGAGGAATTCTGGGAGTTGAAGTCCACAAGTCTCAAAGTTGCCAAGGGTGGAGACCCGTGCCCTACATGACACAAGGCTGGGTTATTAGCAGGGCTGCATGGTTATTTCTGCCTATCCTACTAGATTACACAGGGTAAGCATGCTCCAGGTCTTGTCTCTGGGGCAGTGTGGGAGCTGGAAGAAGTATCTTCTCTGCTGCTGTATCTACCTTGGGATAGTTGGCAGCCCCAATTCTATTAGCCTTTCCTAGTGCAATTAAGATGTGGCTCTTCTCTTGGGCACTGAGCTTTCATGTAAGTTGACACTTTCCTGCTAGGAGACTGAATGTTTGTTATCCCCACCTCAATTATGTGCATCGATATGACTGGTTCGTTATCTTGGTTTTATCTTATTTTTATCCATTTTTGGTGCTCTGCTTTTTATTGATGTGCACTTCTAAGATTCATACATTATGGAGTTGGGCAGGCAATAAATGCATGCATAGTGAAACTGTTTGCTGCCCAGAGTCTCTATGGATTCGGACAGCCTACAAACAAACAAAGCAAGCAAGCAAACAGACCCATTTCTTTTATTCATTTCTCTTAATTTTACAGATATTTTCATACAACTAGATTCTCATGAGGGAAAAGAAAGAGGCAAACAAGGCAGTTATGGGGACTGACCTGATCTGCTAAAGTTGGTTTCTTGGAGTACCTCCGATGTGAGGCACTATGTACAGTTACACAGTAGAGAGTGCGGTTTACAGTACTCACAGTCACAGCAATGAGCTCTTTGTCAGCCATACTTAGCTTTCCTGTGGAGGAAGAGAGTTGTAAAAGGTGAGTAATCTCAGGGCAGATTCACCAAAGTACAAGCTAATCAGCAGTGGGATCCTACCTGTTCCACTACTGGTTCGTGCACACATGTGCACACCCCTAACACACACACACACAGCTTTCCCCACACCAGCTGAGGCCTGCAGGGCCAATCAGCTGAGTGGATAAAAGAAGAGAAAAGCTCAAGGGTGGGAGGGCAATCCTGTGCTTTTCTCTTCTTTCTCCTCTCAGCTGATCGTTGAGGCCTTTTCCCCCCCTCAGTTTATTGTCAGAGGCTTTTTTCGACTGGTTCAACTGGTAGCCTACCACCACTGAAGCTGATGGGTATCCCCTAATACCATGTAGTTATACAAGATCAGCTTTTAAAAAACATGTTAATGTTTTATTATGCCAGTAGGAGCCAAAATAAGGTATTTTTTAAAATAATTATATACTACTATCTGCCATCTTCTGGGATAACTGCATTACTGGATAGATGCATTCCTGTCAAACAGATAACAAATGGTCAAAATTGGGAGCGTCCTATCAAATCCTGTACCTGTCAACAGTGGTGTCCCCCTAGCAGCGTTCTAAAACCAACTCTCTTTATACTTTACATAAATGACCTCTGTGATCATATTAAGAGCAACTGCATTCTGTTTGCTGATGATGTAAAGCTATTCAACACCATTGACAATACTGCTACCCTTCAAAATGACCTCAACTATGTGTCAGAATGGTCAAACAAATGGCAACCTCAAATCTCAACAAACAAATGCTCTGTCTTACATATCGGTAAAAAAATCAGAAAATAAAATACAAGCTGAATAATCAAGACCTTGTTGAGGTTGTCAAGGACCTTGGAGTACTCATCTCTAATGATCTAAGTGCTAGAGCCCACTGTAACTACATAGCCAAAAAGGCATTAAGAATTGTTAACCTAATTCTGCGTAGTTTTTTCTCTGGTAATATCACACTACTAACTAGAGCATACAAAACATTTGCTTAGACTAATACTTGAATACAGCTTATCAGTCTGGAATCCGCATTACATAACGAATATTAATACAGTCGAGAAAGTCCAGAAATATTTCACAAGAAGAGTTCTCCACTCCTCTACTCATAGCAGAATACCTTATGCCACCAGACTTGAAATTTTAGACCTAGCCAACCTAGAATTATGCCGCCTTCGATCTGATCTAAGTATAGTACATAAAATTATCTACCTGTCAATGAATACTTCAGCTTCAACCACAACAATACAAGAGCACACAATAGATACAAACTCAAGGTAAACCACACCAAACTTGATTGCAAGAAATACGACTTTAGCAACAGAGTGGTTAATGTCTGGAATACACTACCTGATTCTGGTTTCTTCCCCCAAAACTTTAACCTTAGACTGTCTACTATTGACCTCATGCCTTTCCTAAGAGGTCTGTAGGGGGTATGCATAAGTGCACCAACGTGCCTACCGTCCCTGTCCTATTGTTTCTTTTTTATTCGTATCCATTTCATGCATTCATAACCATGCTTAAACTTATACCTGTTATCTAATACTTGCTTGACAAATAAATAAATATATTCTTTAAATCCTGAAAGAAGCCTCACTTGCCACAAAGTGTACTGTACAAATACACATTACAGAGTCAAAACCACAACAGGATTCACTCATTCCCCAGAAATCATATGTCAATGTGGACAGTCATTATCAACAGACAGTTAAGTCAAGTATAATCAAGCAAGAATAGAACTGCATTCTCAGCATTAGGCAAATGACTAAATCTTAAGAGAAGCAACAACAGCCTTTTTTTAGGGGAAGAAGGCAACAATCTTTATGCATAGGTTTGACACTTATCTGACATTCTATAACCAAGATAAAAATCAGAAATAAACTGATGATGCTAAGAGATAGAACAGTGTCATACATCTATCCTTTTAGACCTGTTCTAATGCCCCAAAATCTAATCAGATTACTAATTATTGTTGACCATTTGGTACCCTATTTCATTCTATTGGAAAATAAAAAACGTATTGAAAAGTGACTATCCTCTTTGTCAGATTATAGCCATTTTTCAGGATTCTAAAATCAAATCCTGTTGCGTTGTTGTTCATGGAGGTGATTCATTTAAGCCAAGAAAAGACATGCCTTTTATACAGGAATGAGATGGTAAAGGATCTCTGCCACAGCCACTTCTACTGCCAGAGAAAACCAATTTCACATTCTAAGTTGTAGCCTTTATGGTGAAAAGTGCCTTACTCTGACAAGTGACAAGTATTGTGAATTTCATAAAATCCCTTCTTAGCTTCACAATAGTCTCAAAAAGGCCATCAGCAGTCTTAGTAGGTTCTAGCATTCAGATAAAGAACATGGAAAACTGCATTCAGTAGTTCAGAGCTAGCTCCCTACTGAAGTATCCTACGAAGTTAATTGCTTTTGAATTAGAGCCCTACTGCATCACCTTAAGATGATTTTAAAGCTTTCTGATATCATCGTAGTTTAATAGTCTGTTGGCTCTAACTTTCTTTGGTTCAATGGTTCTTGAACTACACCTATATTCTAGGAACACATCTGGAATGCAATCTAGTGCAATTGGCTTAGAAAAATATCTTCAAAACATCCATGTTTGACTGCTACTCATACCTGTTTTCTTGTGCATGATGACATCATGATAGGCAAAGAATACCCTAAATTCTTCCGGTCGATTAGCCATCACTTTAAACACATTGGGCAAAAATCCATTCTGAGAATCAAGGAGGGGGAAATAGTCAGATACCTTAAAATCACATTCAAGACTATTCAGGGAAATATTCAGGAGTCCAGAATTATTCTTCCCATTTACTATCAAAACATTCTGTTGGGACTAGTATTTCATGAACCATAATGTTCTCAGATTTGTTGTTGTTCTCTCTGATAGCTCTCCTCTAAAAAATAGCAGGGTGAGTTTTCATTTTGAGACAGCTACCTCCCAAGCCATTGAAGGAAGACAACAACTTAGCTGGTGCTAATAACATTCCTTTCTAATTCTTCTGGATTCTCAATTTGCACACATGATGCTTAAGTGAGGAAAAGGTTTAAGAGAGAGAAATCAGATATGGATCCTGCATTCTAGCAGATGCTAAATAAGTCCTGAGAATATTTGTAAAATCTTTGAAACAATGTGCTGAGGTTTCAATATAAGGATACTGCTGAGGGATCTCAATTCTCTCTTTGTGAGGCATCCTAGCAAAAGGACTTGAGCTTTACAACTGAGGCTTTTTAAGCAGAAAAAAACAATTTCTCAGGGGAAGGATGTAAAGTAAATGGAAAGCAAATGCCAGTTAAATAATATTGGGCTATGTGGACAAATAAGCTGACCTGATCTGTTTTAAGGCAGTTTTAGAAGTTCTGGCAAATATTCTTTGCTTCAGAACAATAAGCCTGAAAAATAACTAAGAGAACTGAAGCACAACTGGTGCTCCTTCATCTTGGGAGTTTTCTGTTACCAGATGTTGAGGTTTATAGAAGGTTTCTGAAGATACAGGACTGATGTGCTTCTTCTGGCTTGGTGGCATGATGGGGCTACAATATCTGAATGACAACAAATAAATAGCACCCGATGAAGCCATTCATTGTCATGTCCCTTTTCAACTATGCTGTGAAAGGCAGCAACTAACCTAGATTCTAGAAGAACAGAAAAGGGCTAAACAAAAGTATTTTCTTTCTGATCTTATTTCTCATCTAACCACAGCCTATTTTAAACCTCAGGGCATAACTCAGCTGAATAAGGAACATGTATTAGATAGCATATCAAATCCTCATCTTTAATCGTTAGATTCACATGTAGAGTTAGAAACCTGTTGTCCATTAAGGTCTCTTTAATCTGATAATGATCAAACTCTAATCAGGTGTATAGGAAGAACACTTATGTTGAAGGTTCATAAAGATACTACACAATTCTACAGATTTTTTTCCCCCAACTGATTTTTACCGTCACTTTTGCTTCTTCCAGGTGTTCAATTATATCGTGTGGTAGGTCTTTTTTATTGGGCATTGGATACCGCTCAGTTGGCTTGGTGTTTTCTCCTTTTGTGTGGTATGCATGATTCGAGGTTACACTTAGGTGTTTCCCCCGATATCTCTCTGGCATGGTTCGTGGCAGAAGCTACAATACGGAAATATAGAATACAGTATTGCATTTAATAAAGTACATATGGCATATAGTTTATCAGTGCTCCCCAAATTTAGTGAAATTGGAACTGCATTATTTATTGCTTGAAACTCTTATAACTGGCAGTGCTGCAGGTAAAGTTATCCACACTACCTTGTTCAATGGGATGAATTCTAACCAATGACAAATTTGCTTGAAGAACTGGGAAAAATAAGTTACAAAACATTTACTAACTTTGAATCACTTATAAAAAAAGGCAGAAAGCATACTCAACTCACCCCACCCTGTCAGTAAAGTCCTTTTCTCCCAGAAAAATTTCATTTTCATAGGCTTCAAATAGGTTTTACTGTCTGTTGTGCAATGTTATCTAGGCACTGTATAACAGGACTTAAGAGATTCATGAGTTTGTTGGATTTAAAATGATTATAATGACTTGCCTCCAAGAAGTAGCAGCAAAGATGAATGAACACATAGGTTTAGAGAACTGCAATTACAGTTACTCCCCATTTAATGACCATTCTAAGTTGCAACAGTGCTGAACAATGGTAGTTATGACTGGTCCTTGCAGTGCTCCTGTGGTCATGTCATCAAATTTGGGCACTTGGCAGACCAGCCATATTTTTTAAAATTGCTTTTAAAATGGTGACACCTAACCCATCCCCCACATAAATAAAAATACAGACAAAGAAAAAATATAAATAAAAAATTCTTTTTTAAACGGTTAAAAATACCTTGGGAAATTTTTTTTTTAGGTAGTGAGTTATTGCATAAGAGCTGTACCTGCTTTTTGCCAATGAAGCTGATATTTGTGATATTAGGCTAACAAACATTGAAGATTCCTTTTAGGTCAAATGGAAAAGAGAAATGGTAGACTATGGATCAGAATAAAACCTGCAGCGAACATAATTCAGGCACACAGAAAAAAATAGTGTCCAAATCCTTCCTGTTAAAAGGTTAAATTGGTGGAGTCTTAGTTATGCAAACTCTCTTATAACTAAAATTGTCCCTGTAGCCTTCCCCATTCCTCACCCTCTTAATATAAATAACATATAATATCCAACCCTCAAATGATATTGATACACTCTGATCATAGCCCTGAGTCTGCAAACAGGTATATTCAGACAGTATCAGAACATTTAAGTGGTGCAATTTTGCAAAGTCTTAAATTGGCATGCTTTATTGAATTATATATTTAAATTCACACAAAAACTATTTAAACATTTTGAGTTTTGAACTCAATGAATGTTCACATATACATTTTTATCAGTCTGCAGGCACTTTTAATTATCTGCTTTGGCAATTTTAATAACCTCCCGGACAAGCTCACTCAAATCCAACTTTTCCAAAGAAAAAAATGCAATAGGGAAGATGAGCTAGAGCAGTGGTCACCAACCTTTTGGACCTCAGGGACCACCAAACTCATAATTTTAAATCCTGTGGACCAGAGACCCTGGGATAATCCCCACAAAAACCTGCAGTAAACTTCCCCACCCCGTTTTCCTACCAATCGATCATTCTTTATTTGGGATTGAAGGATACCGTCTCCAGCTCCGTTCTGGGGTGGGGGGGAGAGAAGAGATTTTTGGCTTCATGCAAGGTAAGCAGCAGAAGTCTTTCTTTCTCTCCCCAAACTCCACCAGAAATGAGTCTTTGAGAGACTTGTTGTGCCGGCGCAGCCTCTTGGCGCAGAGGATGCCTTGCAGGGTCCCAAAGACTCATTTCTGACGGAGTTTGAGAGAGAGAAAGAAAGACTTTTGCGGCTTTCCTTGCATGCAGCCAAAAGCAGAAGAAAAAATGGGGCAAGTGGAGAAAGTTCCCCCCCTCTGCTCTTCCCCCCCTCCCCTCACTACCTCGTGTTGTTCACAATGCAAGCGATGCAAGCCTTGTGTTCCCATGGGCCATGTGGGCAGTGCAGCCTTGTGTTCCTGCGCAGCCTGGATTAATTGCTTTGGGGGTGACATTTCTCTGCAGACCACCAAAATTTTCTTGTGGACCACCAGTGGTACCCGGCCCACTGGTTGGTGATCACTGAGCTAGAGGCACACCTACAATACTTGCAAAATGCAGTCACCTCTTGCAACACTCACGTTTCCCAATAGGTTTTTTTTTTTTTTAGTATTTATTTGTCAATTGCTTACAAGATACAGGTATAAGAATAAACATAGTTTTGAACTCACGATAGAGACTTATAAGAAAAATAAAAAAGAAACAATAGGACAGGGACGGTAGGCACGATTGGTGCGCTTATACATGCACCAATGCATGCAGTTCACCCAGTTTCAACAACTGCTAGGTACAATCTGTTTCTTAACGCAGTTATGTTCTGAATTTTGCCCTGAATTATTCTGAATTACCTCTCATCCAGAATGAAGACATCACCTGGGGCAATCCAAGACCTCTTTCTCAAGCTGAAACCAACAGGAAAAAACTCCTGCTGCCTGTCCCTATAGCCTCATTGCCCCCACTCTCTGAGAGTCTGAGGTGGCTTGTGGGCCTTAACTGAAAATTAGAAGAGAATGGTGTCTACCTGTTGCTGTTTTAAATTCCCAGCCAAAAGCACCCAGCCCAAGAAAGCTAATCCCCCAGCTCCCGTTTGTTTGCCATTCCCATCTTAGATTCCTTTTCTGAATCACAGCTGGCTAATTCTCCAACTCAAAATAGGTCTTCTGCCCGGCACAATTTTGTACCCACCGCTGCCCTTTTACAGCATAGTTGGACCCTTTCATACTGGGTTTCTCAACCTCAGCTACTTTTAAGAGTTGTGGACTTCAACTCCCACAGTTCCTCAGTCCCTGGGGAACTCTGAGGGTTGAAGTTCCCACATCTTCAAAGTGGAGCAAAGTTGAGAAACGCCGCCTTGCAAAAAGAATCCAAGTTGCAAAAACAGATGTTTTTTTCCTGCCTCGAAAGATTTCCCCCAAAGATTGCACCGCATATCTGGAAGGAAGTTTGGGAAGAGAAGTATAAGAGAACTGAAGCAAACGGGACATTTGGGGGGGGGGGGGATTCTCGCTGGACAAGAAAAGCTAACTGGAGATGATGAAGTCCTGCAGAAGTGGCTAAATGGAGGAGGGTAACACTCACCGAAACAGATCCTCGAGGCCAGAGCTGCAGGAGGCCGCTGAGAAGCGGCTTCATTATGGTGTTTCCCAAAGAAAGAGCAAGAACAGAAGTTTGGGACTTTCAGGTTTCTAGTCTCGGATAGGAAGAAACCGCGTCTACCAATCCTCCCCCTTTTCTAATCGTAAAGAGAAGAATAACCAGGAGCAAATCAATTGCAACAGAAAGGGGGAAGTTGCAGGCTTGTAACCAATGGCAGGAAAAGACCAGAGGGAGAGTTATGCAATGGATGGAAATCGGAGCAAGCCTCTCACTTTTCCAGCTTCGCTTAATAATGGGATTTTTTCTCTTTGTAAGTGACCGTAGGGTTTCAGAAAGCGGCTTTCAGATCAAAAGCCACGCTGCTGTTTTCCCATCTGGAACACCTTTTAAGTTATTTTCCAAAAGCGGTTTATGAGTGTTTCTAGCTGCATGCACCTGTATATATACGTGGGGAGTTACAAATTGAAGGTAATAGCATATCTAGATCTGTAAGGAAACACAAAACCTCTGGAAAGAGTCGGACTATCCTAATCTATGGTTTACTAGCATGCAGGTGGCAGCTTGTCGGGTTAGGCTTCAATCTTAGAGAGACCTAGCATATTATGTGAACACCGCAATTGTGTGAATCTTTATTCACCTGAGCGAACTATGCAGTGAATTAAGGGGCGTGTGCCTACTGTCCTATTTATTCGTATCTATTTCCTGTATTCATACTCATGTTTATTCTTACACCTATTATCTTGTAATCGATTCACAAATCAAATCAATAAAATAAATATGTGCACTCAGAATGTGTGGTTAATATATTTCTGCTCCTCCCTTTGTAGGGTATAGGTGAGGTAAAGCATGGTTGATGCATACATGAAATGGCAATCACATCACAGATAGATCGCCTGGTTTCTAATTACTGAGCGACTTATAATTAAATTTTTAAAAAAAGATAAATCAAAACTGGCCCGAAAAACAATAATCTTGCGAATAGGCTTCGGAATGGAAAAGAGTATTTTTGCTTTCCCTGTAGAAATCCAACTCAGGATGGCATTTCACAACGGATGGCCAGCGAATCAAATTCACACTCCTCCCCCGTGGTTTCCAAATCAAAGCAACGCACGCTCCCATCCGCCCAATCTTGAATCAGATAATCCTGTCCCGTCGCCCACGATGAAAACTACCATTCCCAGAATGCAGCTGGTTCCCGGTAGAGGGAAGTCTCATTGGGTGATGCCTTATAGATAGATAGATGAAGGAAATAGCTCGGCGTGGAGCGAATTTTTCGTAATTGAATCAAAAAGTGTCCGGAAGAGCAAAAGAAAGGTTAATTGAGAAATTGCTATTAGAGGGAGGTGAGTAACAGACGTTTAGTCTGAAAAATAATTCATGACTCTTAAAAGTACTTAAGATGTTATCTGTAAAGCACATTTTGCTTATCTTTTTTTTTGGGGGGGGGGGGGGACTACACACTGATTTTATTTGTGCAATGAAGTGTTAAGTAGAAGACATGTCTTTAAGACCTTATATGGCAGGAGGAATTGCATGAGTCTGAAATTCTTAGGCAACGTTTGAATACCAGTGCGTCTTCTTTTACATATCTGGAATTGGCAATGCATTATTCTTCCCTTTCCGTGCTATTAATCAGCACCCGTTAAGACTGGTTCACACCCTTTCCCCTTTTCTGAATAAAGGGTGAATACACAGAGTGAGTTATATACTTTTCGTGTTTCAATGTTGGATTACTATAACATGCTTACCTGAGGCTCTTTTGAAAAGTAGCCAGAAGCTGCAGTCAGTACAGAATAAAACTATCCTGCTTTAGAATGAGAGCAGTTTTCACTTCTGCCAATTAAATTCTATGGCCCAGCATTTAACGTCATTTTTTTCTATGCTTTCACAGCAGTTTGGACAACACCCCCCCCCCCCCAAATGACTAATCCTGAGAAGAAAGCAGAGAAAAGCATCTGTGGAGGTTGTGATCAATACAGAGATGGATATGGGGAAGATCTCTGGGATGCATTTGAGCTTCTGGAAATTGATGGGAATGATGAAAGATCCAGTGAACAGGTTACAGGAAATGAGAATTGGTGTTCGGTATGTAAAGTGGCCTTCAGCCATTTATATCAAAAACAAATCTGGGCAATTTTAATGTGGTTTCATGTTATTGTACCCTATGACTATCGTTAAGTGTTGTACCTTATGATTCTTGACGAATGTATCTTGCACACTGAAAGTATTTACACCAAGACAAATTCCTTGTGTGTCCAATCACACTTGCCCAATAAAGAATTCTCTTCTATTGTGAATCTTAGTGTTTCACAGGGATCATATTTTACATTGAGGAAGGGCCTAAAAGTCTTATAGCAATGGCTTTGTTTAAAGGCATACTTGTAGATATGTAAGGTAGGTACTCACACATTGTGAATGAATACTCTTTTTATCCCTACTTTCCCGGTTTGTAGGTAGCAATAAAGGTTTTGTTTACTTCAGTTTCACTTTAGTTTACATATTTTGAAATAGCTCCTTATTGCTCTTTAGCTAAAAGATATCACTACAGTAGGAAGAAAATGGGAAATTACCATAATACATTACAATGACCATTTAAGCAATACAAAACACATTCAAACAAGAACCAAAACAGATTTGCTCTCAAATGTCTGGCTCAATGGAAAAGTTTTAAGCTGGTGCCAAAAAGTTGTCATGTTGACATCAGCTGAGCCTTTCTCTGTACCAGTGGCCTAAAGATCCTAGTCTAAACATCTGGCTGACTGTGTGGCCAATCATAATAATAAACAGGGCCTTGGGAACAGCTAAATTGATGCATAAAAATTCCAAATCCAATCTAAACTAAATCCAAGCTTAAAAAGCATTAAGAGTTGTAAATTTAATTTTGCACTGTTTTTTTTCCTGGAAATATTGTATTGCTAATTAGAGCTTATAAAACTTATGCTAGATCAATCTTAGAGTATTGTTCAACAGTTTGGAATCCCCACCATATATCTGACATCAATACAATTGAGCGGGATCAGCAGTGAGAAAAGTCTTGCACTCTTCTGTACACAATAGAATTCCTTATGCTACTAGCCTCGAAATTCTCAGATTGGATAACTTAGAACTGCATCCCTTGTGGTCAGACCTAGGTACTGCATACAAAATTATACGTAGCAATGTTTTACCTATAAATGACTTTTTTTTTTAATCGCAATAATACGCACGCAAACAACTGCTTTAAACACAGTGTAAATGGTTCTAAACTTGACTGTAAAAACATTATTTCTGTAATAGAGTTATCAAAGTCTGGAACACTCTACCTGATTCAGTTGTTTCAGCTACAAATTTTCACAGTTTCAGTCACAAATTGACTTCCATGGATCATACTTAAGTGGTTAGTAGAGGGGGCGTGCATAAGTGCACTAACGTGTCTATCATCCCTGCATTGTATTTTTATTCTTTTATTCTTGTTCTCATTTTTGTTTGACAAATTCTAATAAATAAATAAATAAATATATAAATAAACATCTGGCTGACTCTTTGACCATCATCATCATAATAAGCAGGTCCTTGGCAAGAACTAAATTGATGGATAAAAAAATGCCAAATCCAATCTAAACATCTGGCTGATTGTCAGCCAACCATATTAATAAAAATGTTGCTCAAAAATACTTCTACAGCAGATCTTTCCTGGATTTCCACAAAGATCTTTTATGCATTTAGAAAGGCAAGCAGTGTGCCAAAATGTAATTTAAACATTACATTTGCTATTGACTGAAAGCACTAAGCAAATAATACTGTACTCCCATCATTTTTAGTAGCAGAAAAAGATACTAACTCTTAATTATTCTGTCATTTTTAATAGTTATCTGGGAAAAAATACAGCACACGATTATGTATTCCTTTCTATCTGTGTAAAATAGCTCCAATTTGTAACAGTTTCTGTGTATGAGAGTAGAAAAAGAGGAGAAATAGCTACTGTGTAAGCTGCATTAGATGTCATATGCAAAGTTTGGGAAGTTTAAACAATGGAATATATTCACATACAAACACACATGCACCCCCTAATATCTAGTTCTAATAAGAAAAACTTTGCAAATGGTTTCTTTTCCTCCCTTATATGTCTGTTTATTTTTCTTTATATTAAGAGGAATGTTCTAAGGAAACAACGACACTGGGAGAAGATTGTTTCTGCAAAGAAAGATAAAAGAAAATGTGAAAGAGAACGACGTAAAGCAAAGCATGCTGAACAAAAAGGTACAAGAAACAGTATAATTTCTGTGTCCATCTTCTATAGAAAATAGTTTGCTCTCTCTACTCTGAAATTTCAAGGAACTTTACTTAGGTTTTCTGTGAGGGGTGGTCAGGTTTTCTGAAACAGGCTTCTCTACTACAGCTAATGTTTTGTAATGTTCACTTGGAAGGAAGTGTAGGCAGCCTGGGGAACATATATTTTGGGAGAGATTTTGATTTATAGGCACTGAAGTGCCTTTCAAAAAAGGCAAAATCATGGCTTATGCCTCACCTGTATGTTTAACATCGTTCAGTGGTGAGCAACTGGATGATTCGTTTTTTCCTTCTCTTTTCTCTATTTCAGGCACTGCTCCTCAACTTAGTAAGCGAGATCTAAAAGCCATTGCAAAAGATCGGCTTCTAGAAGCCAAAGCAACAGGTCCTCGGCTGTGTATTGACATGAGCTTGACCGGTCACATGACTCAGAAGGTAGTTTTATATTTTTTGCTCTTTTTAAAAAAAACATGGAATTTACTTTTCAGCGCTGGTGAGTGTGCCTCTGCTCTTGAGTACTTATTTCACAATACTTTGAAGAGGTTGCATTCAATTATTTGCTATGTTGACTGAAGGAATTGTACCCATAAAAATTAGAAAGGTGGATGTGAACATTTGATTTTTCCTCATGAGAACAATAGAAAGCTTCCTGAACATTTAGGCCCAGACTGGAATGTAAGTCGTTAGTTCTGTAAGTGCAGGAAATACCACCTCTGCAGCATCCACAGAAAAGGAAATGATTGAATGATGGATGAAGAAAAAATATTCCGTGAGAGATTTTATACCTTGCTTGTAGTTATATGACTACGTTCTCTTGAACTGAGGAAACATTGGGATTGGCCGGATTTTAAGCATATTTTCTAAGATTTACCTCTTGGATTGGGTGTACTGGAAGTGGAATGGGGAGGACTTTAGGGCCACTGAAAGGCAATAGATGGATTAAATTTGATGAGGACAATGTTGCAAGATCAAAATGTGTATTACAATCACATAGGGAAGAGCATGACATCCAGTGTTTTGAGATGCTCATAAGCAGGGTTTTTTTGGTTCCTTTGAGTTAGTTTTGATTCCTGGCGATTGCCTTGACGTGTGTCTGCAGTTTT